TATATACCCAGTCAGGCTTATTCAACTAGTGGCCCACAGGCTGAATCTGGCCCGCAGAGGCCTGCCAGTTGTACTGTATAACTCATCTCTCTACGCTGGGGCTCAAACCCCTTGGCCCTTGACGATTCCCGATTTCAACATTCTGGCCTCTGGCTAAACTTAGCTGAAAAGCCCTGAACTCAGTCATAGCAAGATTATGTGAAATGACTTTACACTCTTGCCAGATTATTTCCTTAGCATTGCAAATGATCTGATAGCTATTTTATGAAAACTGGTGAACGAAGTGTCAATCAATCATTTGTCAAAAATGGACATCAGGTCAAGTCCTGGTAGGTGAATGCAGCCAGAGTGATGTTGACTACATGACCCACTGAGTGCCGGCTGCTCTTTTTACAAAAATTGGTTTAACATCATATGCCCCACAGGCCACTGTCTGGAAAAGGGTCCTTTACTTACTGACTATGTGGTACTTCACAATTTTTACTTACTGACTATTTGGTACCTCACTATTTTTACTTACTGACTATTTGGTACCTCACTATTTTTACTTACTGACTATGTGGTTACTTCATTATTTTTAATTACTGACTTTTTGGTACTTCACTATTTTTACTTACTGACTATTTGGTACTTCACAATTTTTACTGACTGACTATGTGGTACTTCACTATTTTTAATTACTGACTTTTTGGTACTTACACTATTTTTACTTACTGAATATCTGGTATTTCACTATTTTTACTGACTGACTATTTGGTACTTCACTATTTTTACTTACTGACTATTTGGTACTTCATTATTTTTAATTACTGACTTTTTGGTACTTCACTATTTTTACTTACTGACTATTTGGTACTTCACTATTTTTACTTACTGACTATGTGGTACTTCATTATTTTTACTTACTGACTATGTGGTACTTCACTATTTTTACTTACTGACTACGTGGTACTTCATTATTTTTAATTACTGACTTTTTGGTACTTTACTATTTTTACTTACTGACTATGTGGTACTTCACTATTTTTACTTACTGACTATGTGGTACTTCATTATTTTTACTTACTGACTATGTGGTACTTCACTATTTTTACTTACTGACTATGTGGTACTTCATTATTTTTTATTACTGACTTTTTGGTACTTCACTATTTTTACTGACTGACTATGTGGTACTTCACTATTTTTAATTACTGACTATTTGGTATTTCACTATTTTTATTTACTGACTATTCGGTACTTCACTATTTTCACTGACTATTTGGTACTTCACTATTTTTACTGACTGACTATTTGGTACTTCATTATTTTTACTTACTGACTATTTGGTACTTCACTATTTTTACTTACTATTTGGTATTTCACAATTTTTACTTACTGACTATTTGGTACTTCACTATTTTTACTTACTGACTATTTGGTATTTCACTATTTTTAATTACTGACTATTTGGTATTTCACTATTTTTATTTACTGAATATTTGGTACTTCACTATTTTTACTGACTGACTATTTGGTACTTCACTATTTTTACTTACTGACTATTTGGTATTTCACAATTTTTACTTACTGACTATTTGGTACTTCACTATTTTTACTTACTGACTATTTGGTAGTTCACAATTTTTACTTACTATTTGGTACTTCACTATTTTTACTTAATGGCTATTTGGTACTTCACTATTTTGACTTACTGGCTATTTGGTACTTCATTATTTTTACTTAATGACTATTTGGTACTTCACTATTTTGACTTAATGGCTATTTGGTACTTCACTATTTTGACTTAATGGCTATTTGGTACTTCACTATTTTTACTTACTGACTATTTGGCACTTCACTATTTTTACTTACTGACTATTTGGTACTTCACAATTTTTACTTACTGACTATTTGGTTCTTCGCTATATTTACTTACTATTTGGTACTTCACTATTTTAGCTTACTGACTATTTGGTACTTAAGTATTTTTGCTTTCTGACTATTTGGTACTTCGCTATTATTACTTACTGACTATTTGGTACTTCACTATTTTTACTTACTGACTATTTGGTTCTTCACTATTTTTACTTACTGACTATTTGGTACTTCACTATTTTTACTTACTTAATGGGAAGTCGTTCCCCCCCCCCCCCCCACACACACACACACACAAAAAAAACTTCTTTGTTCGCCACTAATAAAAGGCATGCTGTGTTGCAGTTAACAGTTAGAAAGCAATGGCTACACCTTTCAGACTAAGACAATCAATTTTAGAAAAAGTCTTAATGAGTTGACTCAAAAGACATGCTCGTTAACTCTTAGGGTACCTGAGGACAGTTACATTAATTATAAAATGACGCCTGAGAGTTCTTTGGACCCAAAGATTAAAGGCGCTATATCTGTACATCCTGAATTTATTAGTGTTTTTTCAAGTAACTGTAAAATAGTACTTATATATTAAAATGCCATAATTTTTATTGACTATTAATGATGTATCTCAAACATGGTAACCACTGCACTACCATGGGTAACTGGATTTCAGTAAACTAACAGATTATGAAGCAAACTGTAGTGAGCTCCTTTGCAAGAAAAATTACAAAACTTATTCCCCCCAAAAACAAGACATGGAATGGTATTATGGTGGTGTATAAACTATTTTGCCAAGCAATAGCTCAATATAAAAGTGGATAAATAGTAATCATGTAATTTATGGAATTTAACACTTACTATGCTCTGTCCACCATCAACAACTGTGTAATTTTGATAAGGAATTAATTCAATAATCCTTTTTAAAAAAAAAAAACATATTATTTAAAAAAATATTAATCTTTTAATCTTTTGTTCTTAAGGTCTCCTGGCCAACAATATGCAATATTTTCAATATGAAACTTAATTCTTCAAGAATACACACATGAACTAAATAAATGTTTGTTTATTTACAGCTTCTGAACAGCAGTCAATAAACTGTGCTAACTCAAGTCATCAATGGACTTCAGGCCAATACGGCGAATAGGCGAGATTATTGTTTTTAGTCACGGCAAGTTTTTTGATTCCAAAAATAGTTAGCTAGGGCATTTTCCTCCATATGTAGACTAAGAGGATACAGTACCATCGCCCAGATACTGAGGTGAAAACATGGTGCGATATGGAGAGCTGTGGATTAGAACTGGAATGCTTTACAACAGTGTCCAAGTGGTCGGTGTTGTGAACTGCAGGTTCTGAAACTGGTTAGCTGCCTGTTGCTAGTGTACTAGTGGTGCATTATGGTGAGTGCAACTACTGATCTGTTGTAACTGCTGCTTCCACTGATGAGGAATCGCATTTATAGAACAGAATTGTTTGGGCTGGCACTTCTGATGGCTGCTCATTTATTGAGTGAGTATTCTATTGGCTTTACCCCGATACTGAAGTCTGTGTCCATTTTTGTTTGTTTTTCACAAGGGATAGTGATGGACATTTTGTGCGGTTTTTATTGACACAGGGACAAAGCATCTATGGAGTAAGCCGTTTCCTATGAAGCTGAATAAGGTGCCATCTGCACATTGAAGATTGGCTGCAACGGCTTCAACATACTTTTGTCTTTTTATCTGGATGTACATTTGCCCAGAGTGCTTTTCATCCATCTCTAATTGTCATCCTCCCACTTGTATCACTGTCTATGTCTTGTAATACAACTGCTAACTTGAGGTGTTACCCAGTTAGTCACCAATCTCTTCCACAATGGCAGCTGTGTTTTGGATCATGTCCTGAACATGCCACACGTGTCCTATTTCCCTTTACAAGGCAATGATTCATAAATATTCTTTTGTCTGCTCACCGTCCCATACTTTGAGCACATTTCTCAATTCAATAGGAAACTGCTCTGACCTTACTCATGTAGTTAGTCAGTTAAAAAAAACTGTTACCCGTGGTTTGGCCAAGTTCCAGTCATAGTCTCTCTTGTCATTATCTTTTAGCTCACAATGAAGCTTGATCGTTCAAGCAACTTGTGACAAGTCCTCCTTATATGCCAAGTTGTACGCTTCCTTCTGTGGCATATCTTCTTCTTCTAGTTCATTGGCTATACATTCCTGCAGAAAGCTCTGGTTGTTCGTCAATCTATAGCATGTGATAACAAGCTATTAAGTGTGAAGAATTTAACAGAATTTACCTTACTACTGTAAGGTCAAGGACCCTATTCCACCCCTTCAGGCGTATTGGGCATATTGAGATATATTTTATAGACCAGTCAGCACTCAGTGGGTCATAGGGTCAACATCATGCCAGCCGCCTTTACTTCCAAGGACTGCACCTGGTAACCATTAAATTGGGTCACCCTAGGCCCAAGGTCATTTTTGAAGAGAAACCGTCCGGCTCAGTCTGAACCTGAACCCACGACCTTTCGATCTGATGGCTAGTGTCTAGCTGCCACACCACGGAAGCTTCCTCCTATTGTACTGGGCTGGTATAACAATTCATTGCTGTTCTTACTCAATGTAACATCTAAGCTCATTTTTCTGGCTTTTTTTTTTTTAAACATGCAAAACTCAACAGAGTAATCCTGCAATGTCAGGGTGCATAAAGGAAACAAATCTTTGGCTTAACATTTGCATAGAATTATAGATTTTTTTAAGTACACTGTTAAAAATATGATAAGCCAATAATAGAAGTCGTAACAAATGATGGCGAAACATGACTGCAAAATGATGATTGCACATGTAAAAATTGCAAACTAGCTGTTAAATAGGTCACAGCATAGGTTTATATAATCTCCACAGGGCGAATCTAGTATTGTTATCATTATTCAACTTGTCTGAACAAATTATGTTGCATTGTCCTATGGTGTCTTTTATGTGTGTGTTTCTTGTAATGCCTGCATTACACATAGATCATTTTAATTTTTGTATAAGAAAAAACAACAACCGTGTAAGAACTTTAAAAAAGTAAAGCAATTTGATCAACATATACAAACTGGCAGACTCCATGTCTGCATTCAATTCAATACTTGTCCAGTAATGCGTAAATCTCCTATAGTTCAATCAGAATCGTGTTCCCTTGAGCTGTAAAACCTTAAACAAAAATTAGAGAAACAGATCATATTCTATAACTCAGTCTACAGCACACACACACACAAAAAAGGATGTAAAACAAACAAATGAACAAACATGTGTCAATAATTAGACAGGGAGGTCCATCTAACATTCTGCTCCCTCCCCCGCTTTCCCCCAAGTGCTGATTCCGGATCCCCAGTGTGTGGGGAAACAAGAATAGACCCACTGCCTCCCAACAAGAATAGACCCACTGCCTCCCAACAAGAATAGACCCACTGCCTCCCAACAAGAATAGACCCACTGCCTCCCAACAAGAATAGACCCACTGCCTCCCAACAAGAATAGACCCACTGCCTCCCAACAAGAATAGACCCACTGCCTCACAACAAGAATAGACCCACTGCCTCCCAACAAGAATAGACCCACTGCCTCCCAACAAGAATGCCCTAGGAGTTGACTAATTAGGTGATTCCTTTGAAGTTGGAGTGCATCTGCTTAAGAGGCAACGAACCAACAGTCTGCACACAATTAGGCCTGATCTGTAAAAGGGGTGCATGCTGAAAACTCAGGTTCTTGAACACAGACAAAGTCTAGAAATTGATGAAAAACCAGGACTTTCCGCCTAGATTTACAGTCGGTGAATGCAAACAAAAGCACTTTCTGCCCTTCTGACCTCCCTCCTTTCATTTTATCACTTTAAGAATGCCAGAGTAAATGGTAATGAATGAGCAGACGAGCTGACAAGTAATACACCATTGTATGAGCTTAGAAGCATGGATAGAGCTCAATGCTGTACTAGTGACTAGTGGTGGACAACAATGAGTCTCAAATGCTAACCCAATTATGTGACCTGGGAGTAAAGTCTGGTGAAGCTCATTGATGCCATCTTTGAGGTCAAGATAGGAGACATAATAACCAACTACTTATGGGAACAATCTTGGACAGAGCTAATATCACGAGAAGCATGGACCAAGCTGACATCATCACTGTAGGAACTAGACTGGTGGTAGACGATGACAATTCTCGGATGCTAACCCAGTTACGTGGCCTGGAAGTTATGTCTGGTGAAGCTCTTCTATGCTGTCAACGTCAAAATAGGAGACATTATAACCAACGTCTTATGGGGGAAAAAAAATAACTGATAGACATTATACCACCATCACTGAACAAACTAGACTGGTTGTGGACAAAGTTGATGCTAACCCCATTATGTAACCTGGGAGTAAAGTATGGTGAAGCTCATCTATGTCATTTTCAAGGTCAAGATAGAAGACACCATAACCAACTTCTTATGGAGAAAAAAAAATTTGGTACCTTGGGGGGACTGCTGCATCGAAGTACTGAGCACATAGGGGAATGCCCAATGTGCAATAAAATTGACCATGGTAACATAACTTTTTTACAGGTAATTTTAAACATCAAAGTTGAAAACCAAATATTAGTTACAAGCAATGGAATGTGCTGAAATTACCCTACATTTCTAAATAATATTAGTTTTTAGTATAATTTTAAAAATTATAATGGAATTAAACCATATACTAAATTAATATATTTAAGACTATAGATGAGATGATCAAGCTCACTATATAGGGTTTTAATCCCATATGACTAAGTCTCTCTCTGTTAAGTGGCTGCTCATGTGTTGAGAGCACTGCACAAAGCACGAACCTCTGTAGCTCTAGCAACACCTGATCGGGGGGTCTCTTGAATCACCTGCACTCACAAATGGAGTGAGGCAGTTTGAAACTGATTCACTGATTTAAGATGTCAACTGTTCCTGTTAGACACTGATTATACACATGTTGTTGTTCTCTTCCCTTCATCCATCCCTCTTTGCCGGATCCACACTTAATTCCCATGGAGTACACTGTGCAGTCCCAAATCAAAGCTATTACCTTTAGAGTATGACTCATATATGACTCAAACTATATGACTCAAACTACTTCAGAATTGTCTTTCTTATTTCCTTTTGGAAGAGAGCTCTCCAACCAAGTTGCATCAAGCCTTCTTCTTAGTGTTCATCAGCTGTAAACTCTGGCAGAAAGTCTGGTTGTTCATCCGCTTCTGGACTTAAGCCTTGTCTGAGAACGTGTGTCTTGCATGCACATCCATTTTACAGATCTGGCTTATTTGTATGCAGACTGTTGGTTCTTCACCACCCCAATTAGTCGACTTTTACAACTTACTTATTGGAGAATAGGGGTGGGGGGAGGTGTTAGTCTATTTTCTTGCCCCTGCAATGGAGTCCTGGAACCCAGAATATGAACCCATGACTTTCAGCGCACAAGGGAAACCACTCTGCCACGCAGACCACTAAACTACATATTTGAGCTTGTAAGTATTTAAGAAGATCAATGTAGAATAGCTCAAGCAAACACAGCTTTCCACAAAAAGAATAATATTCTATGCAATCTTTCTTTGTAAACGGAGGAAGAGAGTTCTTAGGAGAGAAATAAAACCAATCCTGAAGCATGGAAGAGAATCATGGATAGTCAGTCGGTTAGTGACAAATTATGTGGAAGCTGCAGAGTTGTGATTTCATACATGAATGATGAGAACATCATGGACAGACTTTTAAAGCAAAACAAAAAAGTAAAGAAGATGCCTTGAAAGACATTAACTTATGAAGAGAAATAATTATCTGCACCAGAAGGAGACAATATACATTTTGTGGTCACATCATGAGAAGGAGAAAACTGGAGTACACGGTGACGGCAGACAAAGAAATCAGCTTCTGGGCTGTTTAGCTTCATGGCAAGGAAGATAACCTGTAACAGAAATGCATGAAAGTACACAAGACAGAAGGCTATAGACAGTCATGACTAACAAATCCACACATCATAAACTAGAAGAAAATGAAGATGCACAAAATTACTGTATGACAAATTTAAACAGCAGAAATTAAATCTCTACGACAAATCATAAATAGAATTAGAAGAGGCTGGATCAGAAATTAATGATATCAAAAAAAAGAATATGGGATAGAACCAGTACTAAACTACATAAAAAAACCACAGATCAAATGGTTCGGACATGTGTCAAGACCAACACTAGACAGTGTGCCACAGAGAACCCTGTCACTTAGACATAATGAAGCAGAGCTTTAGTCAAACAGACAAGCAATGGAGAGATGGAAGACCCCAGGCTGTAAACATCAGCATCTACGTAGCACATACCAAGGCTAGCCTCTGATGCCTTTTCAAAAGCCATTGCTGAAAAGCAGAACAGGACTAGAGAAGAAGAACTGCAAGAGAAACATTCTGAAAACAGCTTCAGCTTACCTTGGCTCTATCAGACGGCTCATCTGACCCATTGACTACAGTTGGACACTCCTTGGAGACCACAAACAGAAACTCTGCATGTTCCTCTGACCCACAGTTGTAATTGGAGCCAATGTTCAGTAACTGTGGACAGAGAAGCATGTGTAACATTTCAGTACTCTAGTAAATGTGAACAGTGAAACGTGTGTAAAATGTCAGTACTCTAGCAACTGTAGACAGTGGAATCACACATAGGACATCAATACTCTAGCAGCTGGGGACAGTGGAATCACACACAGGACATAAATACTCTAGCAGCTGGGGACAGTGGAATCACACATAGCTCTAGCAACTGTAGACAGTGGAATCACACATAGCTCTAGCAACTGTAGACAGTGGAATCACACCTAGGACATCAATACTCTAGCAGTTGGGGACAGTGGAATCACACATAGCTCTAGCATCAGTGGACAGTGGAATCACACATAGGACATCAATACTTTAGCAACTGTGGACAATGGAATCACACCTAGGACATCAATACTCTAGCAACTGTGGACAGTGGAATCACACATAGGACATCAATACTTTAGCAACTGTGGACAATGGAATCACACATAGGACATCAATACTTTAGCAACTGTGGACAGTGGAATCACACATAGGACATCAATACTCTAGCAACTGTGGACAGTGGAATCACACCTAGGACATCAATACTCTAGCAGCTGGGGACAGTGGAATCACACATAGGACATCGGTACTCTAGCAACTGGGGACAGTGGAATCACACACAGGACATCAATACTCTAGCAGCTGGGGACAGTGGAATCACACAAAAGGATATTGGTACTCTAGCAACTGTGGACAGTGGAATCACACCTAGGACATCAATACTCTAGCAACTGTGGACAGTGGAATCACACATAGCTCTAGCAACTGTGGACAGTGGAATCACACACAGGACATCAATACTCTAGCAACTGTAGACGGTGGAATCACACATAGGACATCAATACTCTAGCAACTGTGGACAGTGGAATCACACATAGGACATCGGTACTCTAGCAACTGTGGACAATGGAATCACACATAGGACATCAATACTCTAGCAACTGGGGACAGTGGAATCACACATAGGACATCGGTACTCTAGCAACTGTGGACAATGGAATCACACATAGGACATCAATACTCTAGCAACTGGGGACAGTGGAATCACACATAGCTCTAGCAACTGTGGACAGTGGAATCACACACAGGACATCAATACTCTAGCAACTGTAGACGGTGGAATCACACATAGGACATCAATACTCTAGCAACTGGGGACAGTGGAATCACACATAGGACATCGGTACTCTAGCAACTGTAGACAGTGGAATTACACATACGACACCGGTACTCTAGCAACTGTGGACAATGGAATCACACATAGGACATCAATACTCTAGCAACTGGGGACAGTGGAATCACACATAGCTCTAGCAACTGTGGACAATGGAATCACACATAGGGCATCAGTACTCTAGCAACTGTGGACAGTGGAATCACACATAGGACATCAGTACTCTAGCAACTGTGGACAGTGGAATCACACATAGGACATCGGTACTCTAGCAACTGTGGACAGTGGATCGTGTGTATAATTTCAGGACTTTAGCAACTGTGGACAGTGAAATCACATATAGCAGGTCAGTACTCTATAAACTGGGGACAGTAAAATCCCCTATAAGACCTCGGTACTCTAGCAACTGTGGACAGTGAAATCACATGTAGGACGTCAGTACTCTATAAACTGGGGACAGTGAAATCACATGTAGGGTTTCAGTACTCTAGTAACTGTGAACAGTGGATTGTGTGTATAATTTTAGTACTCTAGCAACTGGGGACAGTGGAATGTAGGGCTTCAGTACTCTAGAAAGCGGGGACAGTAGAATCACACATAGGACATCGGTACTCAAGCAACTGTGGAGAGAGGAAGGTGTTTATAATTTCAGTACTCTAGCAACTGGGGACAGTGGACTTACATGTAGGTCCGTATTTCAGCAACTGTGGGAAGTTAAATCATATGTGGCGTCCTCAGTTTTCTAGCAACTGTACTGAGTAAAATCACATATAGTATCAGTACTTCAGAAACTGTCATTAGCATCCTAATGTTTGCCATCACAAGCAGCTCCTGCATGTTCTCTCCACCTATTCATCGCTGTCTCAAACTCTCTTGTTCGTGTGTGTTAGGTCTTCAGTTATTTATTATGTCCTGTGGGTTTCAGTTCAAAGACATTCTAGTTATTATAAGATTTTCTCAGTGCAAGTCTTATCCTGCTTTAGCGTCTTTCCTCATCTCTTTATTCAGCATGCTTTATGTGCTTCTACTTTTAAGTTCCACATGAGTGATTCTTTCATAAAATGTAATTACTTTTCTTCTTCTTCTTCATGTTCACTGGCTGTAAACTTCAAAAGAAAGTTCTGATTGTTCATCCACTTCTTGACCATAGTCTAGTTCTAGAACTTCAGTTCTGCATGCATAACTCCATTTTACAGATCTTTTTTGCTCAGGCAGATGCACTCCGACTTTGAAGGAAATACTCCCTGCGTGTGTTCTGTGGTCCCATTGTGGGGAAAACAAGAACAGACCCACTGCCTCCCTACAAGTATGTTATAAGAGTGAAGGCAAGGAACCAACAGTCTGCATACTGATATGTCAGATCTGTAAAATGAATGAGCATGCAACATTCAGGTTCTGGTGCATGACCAAAGTCCAGAAGTGAGTGGGTGAATTAAAATTCTCTGTGTAGGTTCCGGGGCCCCATTGTGGGGGGGGGAAACATAAATAGACTCAATGCCTGCCCACAAGCATGTCGTAAGAGACGACTAACTGGGAGCTTCCTTCAAAGTCTGAGTAAATCTGCCTGCGAGGCAAGGAACCATAAGTCTGCATGCAAATGAGTCAGACCTGTAAAACGGATGCGCATGCAACACTCAGTTTCTGGAACAAGACTAGAGTACAGAAGTGGACAAACAACCAGAACTTTGCGCCCTAGTTTACAGCCAGTGAATGCGAATAAAGATGAAGAAGAAGGAAATACCCCTAATTAGCTGACATTTAAGACATGCTTGTAAGGGGTCAGGAGGTCGATTCTTTTTCTTCCGCAATGGGGCCCACATGGGACATTTTTATTCTACACAGTCGCCAGTTATTAAATATATTAGTCATTGTTTTAGTCATTTTTTGGGGTCCCATGGGGAGGTGTGCAGCGCACCCCCCCCCCCCCCCCAATTATTTTTGTTTAAATTTTTGGGGATGCTGTTTTGTCTTTTTTCTAGGCAATTTTAGGTTCAGTAATTTGCCACTGTTTTCTAACTGGTCAACTTTTAATGCCAATGTTGTAATCAAAACAAAGCGGCCTAATTCCGAACTGCCCGCAGTTGGAATCAAACCCTAGTACCTCAGAATTACAAAGTGCTTTCAACAGCCCATTCTGCAGATACGGGCTATCCCCCCACCACCCCTCTTTTTTTTTTCTCAATAAGCATTTGATAAATTCAACTTATTAAGGGTTTGTTGAAGTTGAATGTGTTTAGCCAAAAGGTGCAGATACTGAAGCCTAGCTGTAAACCACAACACAACATGCTATTGCCCTTCTGAGGGTGAACAAAGAAGATGGAAACAAACTGACTCACCTGCTCAAATTTCCACCCATCAGGTATTGTTGAAACCATCTGTGTCAGCTCTTGACCAGAACACTGCATTACTCTGTATACATTCTTCATTGAAGACTAGGGACGCGGAAACGCTCAAATCATTATTCAAACACAAATTGAAGTCAAGCAAATCTATCTAGGAAGTTCTGTATCTTCTGGAAGGCTGATGCATTCCCCCTTGTGGATTCTGACCATTTGGAGGGGGGGAGGGTTAGACTCATTGCACTCCCCTCCTTTTCATAGCATGTGCATGGCAATTAATTAGGGGAGTTTCCTTCAAAGTTGGAATACATCTGCCTGAGAGGTGGGGAACCAACAAAAACTGAAGTTCTGGACAAAACTGAAGGCAAAAAATAAATAAACAATCAGAACTTTCTGCCGGAATTTATGGTCAGTGAACGCCAAGAAGAAGAAGAAGAAGATGCACTGACTTTCAGCTCACTTGACCCTTCAAGTGTTTCTGTGGCTAAGTAAGGTCATAGGTTCGTTCAGGGTTGTACCACTTGGTTTATCAGTGCAATTATTTTACTGAGATACCTGGAGATTGTTGTCAAAGCTATGGAGATTGTGCTTTGTGTGACTCAAACATTTAAACTTTTCTCTGAGCCCTGACAAAAGAACTGCATTTATCAACAGGGTTGGTTTTAGAGATTTTTTGTCTTGGTTGTACACTCTCTCTGACTGCTGTTCGTCTATCTCTTGATATTGTCCTCCTTTCACTTGCACCGTTGTCTACCTCTTGCCCCAACCTTTCCCTCCAGCATGCCACTTACTTGTTCATAATAGTCATATTGAAGAACTTATCATAATTTACACATTTGGAATTGCAAAAGGAGCGCATTCTAAAGCTAGAGGTTTTCTGTAATGACAACAGGTTAGTTGTGTATCCTTTACAGGACGTTGCAGAACCAACCCCAGCAGCCCCTGGCTGTTGTGTGGTTTCTCTAGGCAAATTACATCCAGTAGTTTGCCACTGCTTTTTGGACGGTCGGCCCCCTGATACCACTGTCAAAACCAACGCAAGGCGCATGGCCCGCAGCTGGGATCGAACCCGGCACCCCGGCATTACGAAGCAATGACAAAAGGCACCCCTTAAATTTGTTCAGCTTATGCCAGGAGTCTGCTGAGCACCAAATGGAAAATACTGCAACAGTTAATAAATCCAGAAGACACTGCATCTCACCTGGTTCTGTTTTGCATCTCGCTCGACTATTCTTTCTTTGACAACCCTGATCAGATCTGTGATGTTGTAGAACTCTGCCTCCTCTAGCACACCTACAAGACATCAGTGGACATGTTGAATGTTGAATTCAGAATCAACATCACAGCAATTAGGACAATTCTCACATGCGTCCGCCCCCATTTTCAGTAGCAAGCCCAGAGTTTCAATTCCGATGATACCAGTAACAGTCTACTTGTATATCCGTCTCACCGTGCCCTTGAGATGGCCAGATCCCCCTGGTCACTCCAAACAGCACCATTCTCCTCGGGCCGTGATGATTTTTTTGTGTGCATCTGCACTGTTTACTTGCTCTCAAAGAACCCATACATTATCAGTGTATACATGAAGATAAAGGTTTAAAGCTGACAGAATCAACTTCCTCACACTGGGTTAATCCCATATGGTGTGGTCTCCCTCTCTGCTGAAAGCACTGTCTTCTTCTTCTTACTGGCTGAAAACTCTGATGGATAATTCTGGTTGTTCGTCCACTTCTGGACTTTAGTCTTGCTCCAGAACTTAAGTGTTGTGGGCATATTCAATTTACAGATCTGGTTTATTTGTACGCCACTGTTAAAATCTTTGGCCCTCAGCACGACCCAGACTTAAATGGGTATCAGGTGAAGTTCTGGGAAGTAAAGGTGGCAGGCATGATGCTGACCAAATCACCCACCTAGTGTTGATAGGTCTATCTTAATAAAGTTTGTTCGTTCGTTCTTCTTCTTTGCGTTCACCAGCTGTAAACTCCGGCGGAAAGTTCTGGTTGTTCATCCACTTCTGGACTGCAGTCCTGTTTCAGAACCTGAGTGTTGCCTGTGCATCCGTTTGACAGATCTGACTAATTAGTATGCAGACTGTCGGTTCCTTCAAAGAAAGCTCCCAATTAGTTGACTCTTACGACATGCTTTTGGGTAGGCAGCAGGTCTATTCTTGTTTTCCCTATAATAGGGCCCAGAACCCACATTGTATAAAATATAGGTCTAGTCACATATGCCCAATATGCATGAAGGCGTGGAAAAGGGTCCTATACTTACTGTTAACATAGAAAGAGTCTTTTAGTTTTACTTACTGTTAACATAAAACAAATCTTTTGGTTTTAATACTTACATGATGGATGTTAGAGAACTATAATGGTCCCTTTTCATGTCAGTTGCCGATCAGGCCCAATATGCTAAACCCATATTTTAAACAAAAGAAGAAAAAAAAAAAGAAAGAAAACTGTCCTCCTCCTCTTCATCATCATCAGGGGAGGAACAATCTGCGATTCACTGCACGCTGGCTGGCACTGGCTACTGCATGCAGTGAAGGCGTAAAGCGTTCTTTTTTCTTGCCGTTCTCTTGCTCTTGTAGCTGATCTTCTGAGATGTAGTGCCTATGATGGCATTTGATGCTGCTGCATTTTAACAAGATGGCTAATTAACCTGATCTGCTGTTTCTTGATCAATCTAGTATAAAGAAAAATGTAGCTTTCAAATAATGGAGTCTTAGATATTAAAAATTGTCAACCACTTACCTTCTTCTGCCAGATCTTTATTCATAACAAGTTTTCCGTGTCGAAGAAAGTTCAACACTGGGCCAAAGTATGAAGGGTCTCTGTCCACAAGGAATGCCCCGTCTGCATCCTGTTCATGGAAAGAAGAGGATGATTAAAAGCAGGTCATACAAAATAATGTTATTTCAATCATCTAAATCTCTGTGTGGGTTTTGGACTCTATTTGGGGGGAACAGACTCACCCACCCACCCCCACCCAACCATCACAGCAAGCATGCCATAAAAGACGACAAGGGGTTTGCTGAAATCAGATGTGTTGGGCCTAAAAATGCTGATATAGTAGCCTGGCTATAAACTACAATCCAACCCCCAACTGCCCTTGTAAAGGTGAAAGCAAAAAAAGGAATTAATCTATAACTGTACAGTTTATTGGTAAAGTTCCTTGAAGTGTCAAGAGATATGATTTTACAGAGGAATGTTTAAAATTCCTATGGCAACCAAAATGAGTAATCCAGAGGTTTTCTTCTTATTTGTTCTTCTTTGCGTTCACCATATGTAAACTCCGGCAGAAAGTTCTTGTTGTTCGTCCGCTTCTGGACTGCAGTCCTGTTTCAGAACCTGGGTGTTGCGTGTGCATCCGTTTGACAGATCTCTCATTTGTGTGTGGACTGTTGGTTCCTTGCCTCTCAGACAGATGCACTCCGACTTTGAAGGAAGCTCCCAATTAGTTGACTCTTACGACATGCTTTTTAGGTAGGCAGTGGGTCTATTCTTGTTTGTCCCTATAATAGGGCTCTGGAACCCACACGAGAAACCAGATGTTTTAAAAGATCAGCTGCTATTTCTGATGTTTTTCATCAACTATCATTGGCTCTCAGACTAAACTCAACTAATCACAAACATCTTAAAAAGGGTAGTTAGATAGTTATCATTTTTATTTTTAAAGGCGACAAATAGGGAGAGGAAAAACTGTAACATGTGACAGCTCAAAGGATTTATGAAAACAAGAGGAAAACAATGTCGTGGTACTGGAAGGGTGAGGATCGCCTGGCCAAGCAGTTACAACATTCAGCTCTCATGCAGGAGACAAAAGTTTGACAACTGGTAAGATGATAGACATTTTTTTCTGTTAGAGATAAAAAAATTAACAACCCAACCTGGGGGAAAAAAGGTGCCTGCAAAGGTACCACAATGTATCACATAAAAGTGTTGGTACTCACCACAATGTATCGCATAAAAGTGTTGGTACTCACTATGAGATATCACATAAAAGTGTTGGTACTCACCACAATGTATCACATAAAAATGTTGGCACTCACCACAATGTATCACATAAAAATGTTGGTACTCACCACAATGTATCACATAAAAGTGTTGGTACTCACCACAATGTATCACATAAAAGTGTTGGTACTCACCATAAGATACCACATAAAAGTGTTGGTACTCACCACAATGTATCACATAAAAATGTTGGTACTCACCACAATGTATCACATAAAAGTGTTGGTACTCACCATAAAAGTGTTGGTACTCACCCACAATGTATCAATAAAAAATGATATCACATAAAAGTGTTGGTACTCACCATAAGATATCACATAAAAGTGTTGGTACTCACCATAAGATATCACATAAAAGTGTTGGTACTCACCACAATGTATCACATAAAAGTGTTGGTACTCACCACAATGTATCACATAAAAGTGTTGGTACTCACCATAAGATATCACATAAAAGTGTTGGTACTCACCACAATGTATCACATAAAAGTGTTGGTACTCACCACAATGTATCACATAAAAGTGTTGGTACTCACCACAATGTATCACATAAAAGTGTTGGTACTCACCATAAGATATCACATAAAAGTGTTGGTACTCACCACAATGTATCACATAAAAGTGTTGGTACTCACCATAAGATATCACATAAAAGTATTGGTACTCACCATAAGATATCACAAAAAAGTGTTGGTACTCACCATAAGATATCACATAAAAGTGTTGGTACCACAAAATGTCTATTTCAGTAGTGCTATAAATTGGTGAAAAAAAAATACCTAACAAAAAAATGCCAGTACTGCGTACTGTTGCATACTGACAGGAAATAAATAGCCCTGCTCAAGCAGAATTCACTACAGTGGAGTGTTCTTTCATGTGTGTCTGTCCACTAGAATTCTGGAGCTCTCTTATCTCAAGGCCAGTTTGATTGAGACCTGTATTTTGCCACAGATCCATGGTGTTTGGAAAGGAGACATAGCAGATGCCTTTCACGGAGCTGCATAAAGCCAGCATAGAGGTCAGCAGGTACAGGGTACATCTTTATAGGTCAACACCTTTAACTTTACACCAATTCTTATGATTAAAGTCACGACTCCAATACAGAAGTAATCAAAAAGGAAGGTATATGGAAACCAATAAGGGTAGAACAATATATGTAAGGAATATAGGCAAGAAATAAGAGAAGGAGAAAATAAGGAAAAAGGAGAATAAAGGAGTGAAGACACAAAAGAAAGGAATTTAAAAAAAAACAATGTAAGAAAAAAATTGGATAAAATAAGGATGTATTATGACAAAGGAAAGTGAAGAAAAGAAATAAAACAAAATAGAAGATTAATGAGTACATTAAGGAAGGAGGGAATATGAAAAGCAAAGAAAGAAAGAAAGAACAATGAACATTAAAGAAACATATATTTCAATAACTGTGTATACCTTGTCAGTGTTGAGATCTGGAGCCTCTTGCACCAGCCTGAACAGAAATGATTTCTGGTCTCGTCCCAGAGTTGTTCGTGTAGTCAGAAATATAGTACCCCCAACGTTTAACCTCACCCACTCACTCTTTCTGCTGTCATTAAAGTCCATGCTGATGTGTTCATTAATTTCATCCATGGCTTCTCCGTGGCTCTACACTGTGATCCAGTATCCACTATCTACACTGTGATCTAGTATCCACTATTTCTGGCTAACTGCTGAAGCAAGAACATCACATCAACTAGTTGATTTAGCTGACTAAATATTTCTCATAATCAATAACTGGCTAGCTGTTTGTGTTATCTTCTTCTTCTTCTTGTTAGTGTTCACCGGTTGTAAACTCCAGCGGAAAGTTCTGGTTTTTCGTCCACTTCTGGACTTATATAGTCTTTTTCCACAACCTGAGTTTTACAAGTACATCCGTTTTACAAATCTGTCTTATCTGTAAACAGACTGTTGGTTTGCCACCTCTCAGGCAGATGTACTTACTCTGACTTTGGAGGAAACACACCTAAGAATGTGCCGTCTTTTACAACACGCTTGTTTAGAAGGCAGTAGGCCTCCTATTCAACCCACCCCATGAGGTGCTGGAATCCACACACGGGATTTTCTGCTTTAAAATGGGAGCCCGGTACCCACAAAAGGATTCTCTACCTTAAAAGGGGACCCCAAAATCCATATGGAGGCTAGACCAAAAAGAACTGGGAGAGAAGATTTAGTCTATATTATTATGCCGTCCGCCTTTAATACCTAAAATATTTCCTGGTTTTTTGGGTTGCGTCGATCACTTTGTCAGATTTGTCTTGTCAAAACTGTTACAATTTCTCTAAACACTATCAGCGTTTTGCAAAAAAAAAAAAAAACAATAAGTCAACAAGTACTAAACTAACTGAGAATATTAATATATAATCCGAAATCTGTTATTTTCAAACTGACCAACCTATATTAATAATTAAATGTGTGCGAATATCCGCCATATGATAAATATATCATAATAATAATGGGTGAAATCTGTATGCCGTGGAAACGACTGTCACTGTAAAAGATATTTCCTTGTTTACACGTTTGCTGTCGATATTCCAGCAAAGATACACTAAACCGGCCAACAATCAACTACATAATTTTAAGAGACTGTCATTAAACACGTCCACTTTGTGTATCGTGCTTTTTTATTCACTTGTTGGCGTAGAGTGGAGGTTGTGTTGTTTTTATCATAATTTACACAATTATTGTTTAAACTACATCGCTTTCAGAAAGACTTTGGTTTTGGGCACTGGGAAAGTAAAGACGGCCAGCATAATGCTGACCACATTACCCACAGAGTGCTGATGGTCTGTAAAAAATATGGGCGCTTTTCCCATATGCCCGATACGCCTAAGGGTCCCGGGTTGTTAGCATCCTTTAGGATATTTTCTCCAAGTGACGCCGGTGTGGTGGGAAATGAGCAGGCAGTAAGACTGGCCGGTTCTGCACTACTTGGTGGTGAACTGATGTATGACAAGCTGGATGCTGTGAGGACCCTTTGGGAGCGAGTGAACAGTGCCAAGGAACAGATAGATCATTACGGTCTGAGGAGAATGGCGCTGCGAGGAGTTACAAGGGGATCTGGCCGACATTCGACACTCAGACTGTTACTGGTACCATCGGAATTTTAACTCTTCGCTTGCTGCTGAAGATGGGGACGGAGCGCTTATGGGGTGTCCCGAGTGCTGTGATGTCGATTCCTAATTCAACATTCTTCTTTTTCTCACACTTCAGTTATATGTGGATTAGCACCTGAAACAACAGATCATGTCTTCCAAGAGTGTCCCAAATACAACATATCAAGGCAAAACTTTTGGCCTAGAGAAACATCGGTGCCAGTCAAACTTTACGGCTCGCTGAGTGAATTGCAAAAGACAGTGAAGTTCATACTAGAGACAACATTGCAGATATGGATAATCTGTTTCCAGCGAACGAAAGAAGTTATTTGTTACTTGTCCGTATCGACATCCTAGCTCAGAAGTCGACAAATCGCGGCTCGCGAGCTCCATGCGGCTCTTTAGCGACCTAAGTGCGGCTCAGGCCAGTGGGTCACAAATCGGGTTTGACTCCCAAAAGCATGGTTCTTGACAGCCGAGCGCGCCCTGGCTCAGCTGCCGATCGTCCGATGACCTGCAACGCCTAAAGGTATAAACAGATATTGACAAAAAAAAAAAGAAAACATGTTCTTGAAAAAGAAATTTGGCTCTCAAAAAAATGTAATAGTCCTGCTGCTGATTTGTGGCTCTTTTGACTAATGAGTTTGCCGACCTCTGCCCCAGCACATCGGTCTAACCCATTCGGGCTTCGTCCTTTTAACGCAGCAGCCATCTAGATCATAGTTCCATGCTCAACGTAAATATTTTACGTGTTCCTACATCCATACGCATTGTGACTATTGTTCCACAGTTTAGGATGGTTGCTTCAAATCTAATGTCTAACAATTGTTCAATACAAAATTGGGCCTTACGTCTATTCTTTGATAGAATTTACGTCACAAATATGCTTAGGTTGCCTTCCCCCAACCTACCGGCGGTTCCAAAATTGTGCGGATTTGAACTTGAGACTTTCTGGCCGCCAGGCAAGTGCCCAGCCGCTAACTACACCGCTATAGCTGACATAAGCGCAATTAATAAGAGTTCTGTAATTTCAGTTCAACGGTGGGTGTAGCCTGAACACATTTGTATAAGGTTTAAACAGGAATCAAAAAGTCTTAGCCTTGTCTAATTACCTAATTATAATATGTTTTACAGCAAATAAAAAATATGTGAAATAATATGACAAGGATAAACAACGCTTGAAATAAACATTCTATTTTTTACTAATTTAGACGGGGTGGGGGAGGGGGTAATTTATACATAATATTTATTTACGTCAGCGTGTGTTCTCATTTGAACTTCCACAATCCCTGTATTAGGTTCCAGGGCACCGTTTTGTTGAAATGAAGAATTTACCAACTGCCTCCGGAACAAGCATGCCGTAAGAGTAATAAGAGTCGACTAATTTGAGGCAACCTTGAAAGTTGTAGAGTACATCTGTCTGACTACCCGAAATGCGAGAGGCAAGGAACCAAATACAGATAAGCGAGATTTGTAAAACGGATGTGTGCGCAACATTCAAGTGAAACAAGACCTAAATCTGAAGGTGGACGAATACCCATAACTTTCCGCAGTAATTTACAGCCGGTAGACGCGAGGAAAGGGCAGAATAACTGTCACATGCGAAGAAAGAAATCCGTTACTGGAATGTGGTCGGAACAATGTTCTCAATACTTGTCTCCCAAGTGGTCTAGTGGCTAGGATTCCGCGCTCTCACCGCGGCGGCCGGGGTTCGATTCCCGCTTGGGAATAATTTTTTTTCTTTCTCTCCTTTCTGCATTTTTTTTCCACAAAGTATAAATTAGTTTTATACAAAATATATAAAATTTATATTACACTGATTAATTTGGTACCCTGGTTTATATAACTGCCAGATATATTCCAAAGCACATTATACTGTTTGTAGCCACAAGAACAGTCCATTTCATTCATTCATTCACTCATTTTCCTGTTGTGCCATTACATGTCATACAGGGCTAGCAGTCCGCTTTATCCAGTACAATCAGCTCAATCTCATGGACGGAATCCAGTCCAGCATCCTAAGCCTCTCTCATTAGGAAAATATATAAAACCGAACAAAAAGTAAAAAGCAAACTTCACAATATTAGAGATACAAACAAAACGTGAGCGTTGCGGCTATGGAGCCTTCATCATCACATACAAATCAAACAATACTACACAAATACACAAAATCACTTAGCTGGTATTTGGAAGGAGCCGGGTCGATGGTTTCTCAGCGGACTGCCTACACAACTTTCTACCCCGCCAGGACATCACACAAGCGATAAGCACCCGATGACACAATGCGCCACCATGTGGATGAGGATCACCGTGGAGAGGTCCCAGAAACCGCGTTCAGCCTTTAGGCTAAATTTATGGCCAGACTATATTGCGGCCCCTGGCAAGAGCCAGGGTGGGGCTTCAAATAACGAAAAATGTCATCCTAAAAAGCACGGCAAATAATATCGATAATTCAACCGAACTTTCTAACATGCCTACACGCGTGGGCTGGGGGGGGGGGGGGATAAATACCCCCTCCCCCCTGTGAAGTACCAGAGACCATAACTAGGGGCTAGAGATTTAACTGTAAGGGTAGTTCAATCCTCTAGGAGCATTAATGATCGTCTTAGGGTTTCTTGTGGGCGTGAGTGAGTGAAATTTAATCCCACCAGGACATCCATCAAGCGATAAACACCCGGTGACATAGAGTGCCACCATGCGGATGAAGTTCACCAGGGGACAGTCCCAGAAACCCTGTTCAACCCTTAGGTTGCGTTAAATTAGGGGCCCCGGGAACAGCTAGGGTGGAGCTTTGAAACAAAAACAATTTTTGCCAGACAGCCTAGCATACGACACCACAACATACATCATGAGAATGGAAGTGGAGACGGTAACTACAGCTCTCCGGTGGCTAGAGAACAAGATGCAGACACATGTCGTAATTGTAACACTCTGAAAGCAAGCTGAGAAAGGGGAAGACATTGATGCTTCGAGCAAAGTGGCAAACTTCACTGGAAAGATCTTGGGTAGTTAGCATACTTTAGATCCTTTTTCCGGGCGATGCCGGCGTGGTGGGTAATGAACAGGCAGACAGATTGGCTGGATCAGTACCCCTGGGTGGTAAATTGATACATGACCAGGCAAATGTGGTCAAGGCCTTTTGGGAACTAGCAACGGAATCAGTAGAGATAGAAGAATATTATGGCCTGGAGAGAATGAGGCACCTGGGTGTAACCAGAGGGTCTGGCCGCCTCATGTCACTCAGAGGAAAGGCAAGACGGACATATAACCAGATTGTGACTGGTACCATCAGTACTGGAACTCTGCGCTGGATACCGAAGATGATGACGGAGCACGCATGGGAATGCCCCGAGTGCTGTGATGTCAATTCTTGACTCAGCTCGACTCAAAAATTAGCATCCGACATTGGGACGCGGTAGTGTATTAATGATTTGAGCATCGTCGCCTCTTTAATCCCTGTATATCTCATGTTGATGTCTATTTGATGATTCTCTGCTG